CAAAGTGCTTAAAATAAAGTTAAGACTGGCTTAAACAGAATAAGGGGAGAAAAATGTGTGCTTAAAGCTGAAGTATATACCTGAACTGAACTTGCAACAATATTTACACTGTATGAAGAATCTTTTTTTTTTTTCCATATAATACTTCATTACTTGCTAAAAGTCAAACATGGAGTGTAAACGTCAGGGTATTTTCTCTAGCAGCTGCCCTGATCATGTCTTTGTGAATAAATTCTTAAAGGGTTTTTTGATATGAAGCTTATGTGTGAACAAAATTTGCTCATCAAAATATAAAACTGACACAGGACCGAAATGGTTATCTGCTTCCCCTTACACTAACCAGCTGACTAGGTACTTGCTCTCTCTAATACAGATTCCTGTTGGAGACCCTACCTCCCTTCCCAGTGCTGAAAGTCAATCCTGAAAATCGATTTCTAGTGAAAAACCCTGTTTGTGTTCTGAAGCTTTTGCACTAGATAATTCTGTTTATTAATAACTACAGAATATTTGTGCAAAGATGCATGGTGACTATTCAGACTGTTCTGTTTCCTCTTGAATTATGAGCATTCAGAAGAACACAGAGCATGTGTTATTTTCCTTACGGAATCTGAATCCTGGTTGACTGCTAAAGTATACTATTGCCATGATATCCAGGCACTTGCTTGGATCAGATTCCAAAATTAAAATCGATACTTCTAAACGTCCATAGGATTACTTCCTATGTATAAGAAAACCTAAAACATTTTCTCAGCAAAACCAGAATGACCGCTGCTGCTATTTTCTTTCTTCTCTGCCCCTCCCTCCCTCCCTCGAGTATAAGGAAATCTTTGTAAAAAGTAAAGCACTAGTAAATAAAGAGTTAAAATGAAGGCAGGCTCACTGGTTTGTTGAGATCTGTCAGAGTCTGAGTGGCTGGCTACATATCTGTCTCAGGAACAATAGCTACCTGTATTCTGCACGGACTGCTGGGCAGGCACTAGCAGTCTGGAGAAGGTCTGCCTCTGTTAGAGGTTTCTTAGTGGGAATCCCTAATGACAGTCCTACTTTCCACTTGGGGAGGGGGGGGGAAAAGATCTCGTCTACTCTGTTGATGAAGGACAGAGCTTTGATCGTTTTCATTCAGCCTTGACTTGGCCTGAGGTTTAGGTTCCCAGTCTTGAAGTCAGCAGGCTCTCTTTTCTCACACATGCATGCACGCACACACACACACACACACACACACACACACACGCGCGCACCCTTTGCTGGTCTTTGCAGGCAGATTAGTGTCACAGCTGTAACTGAGGCACAGAGCAATAAACATAGCAGACCCAATCTCCATGGTGGCAAGAGGGGGCACTGGAGGTGACAACAATGGAGAAGGATCTTTCTGCTGACAAGTTTTAGGTAAGAGAGAATATTTATACCCTCAGCCCTAAGTATTTTATAGCCTTCTAAATAAGTTAGAAATTGTTAGCTTGCAAATGTGCCTTGTTAAAGAAATATTTGAGTTTACTGCTGCATCCAG